GCCAAATGAGTGAAACAGAATATAGATACTTAGTACATAAACCAAACACAACCTTGAGGAATTAAAATGTCAAAAAGTAAATAATAAAAATATTTCAAATATTTTTGGAAACATGGGCAAACTTTCAACCATTTGTCCTTATACGCAAGAATAAGTGTAGTCTTGATCTCTCATCAAGGGAACTTCTCTTTACAACAGATGGAGACCACTACAGAAAACCACAACCAATCAAAATGCAAAGTTGTAGAGCCCAGTCCTAACAGATACATCTTCAAAACAACTCCTGAACATAAGGCTCAGGGTACATTGTAGAAGAGGGGTGGAAAGATTATAAGAGGCAAGGGATCTGGGAGTATGCTGTGAGACTGTGTCTCCTAGTGATGTAGAAGCTACACCAACAGTTTTTCACCAATAGTCTAATCTGCCTAAATGTGAGCTGAAAAAGGACAACAAAAAACATGTCAAAGTGGACCAAGACCATGGGGCCTCAATTGTACACAAAGAACTACAGGCAACTAGAGAGTGCTGAGAATGGGAAACAGTCTTTCCCAGGGAAGAGCACAACAACTGGTTATTCAACATCAAGTGGTCAGCCCTGAGAACATTCTTATGAGTAATGTTATTCAAACTGAGCAGGTTATATTTAGGAACATATGCCATGTAACAACAATTATTGAAAAAAGAGGCCATGAATTTAAAATACAGCAAAGAGGGATATAGGAGAGAGTTTGGAGGGAGTATATGGAAGGGGAAAATGTTGTGATTATATTATAATCTCAAAATAAAATAAAAAATAGGGAAAATTCTATTTCTTCAATTTTAAAATGTTTCTTTATTGAACACAAATTATGTGCATAAATAATCTACCATGTAATTGTGGAGATTATATTGTCCTTATTGTGAGACTCTTCCAGAACTACTATTCCAAGAATGAGTGGAATAACGTAATTCAGAGATGGACGAGGAGTATGTCCTCTATCCTAGCCTGTATAAACAGACCTACAGTGTTCTGGGTTCTTAGGGGATTTCTCTAGGACCTGTTGTTCACATCTTAGTCTGGGACATAAGGTCCCATTTTCTTGGGTGACAGGACTGTTCACTAATCCTTTCTTAGCTGTGTTGGCCTGGACTATCCAGAGCCAAGGCTCTGGCTCCAGGTTTCAATGTTCTGTGTCCTTTATCAAGGCTGAGCTCTGCCTCATGCTCCCTAAACCTTCCCCCAACCAACTCCTCTAGTCTTTCTGGTCTTACTTTGGACAGAAAGAATTGTGCATCAGTTTGTTCTCTAAAGTCTTCCTCAGAAATCATTACTTGATCCAGAACAATAATTAGTACACCCACCACTAGTCCCCAGTAACCTAACTTTCTTGTTAGGGGCAATGTTGTGTTTACTACCTGGTCTTAGGTTGAGTTATTAACCTCCATATCTTAGAACATGATTGTATTTGAAGACAGAGTCTTTAGTAAAAAGATATATGAGATTAAATGAAGTTTTGATGATAGGTCCTGATTCAATGTGATTTGTTTTTGTAAGGGGAACTATGAGCACACAAGACACTACAGATACATGAATATAGTGAGAGAGTGGCCAGATGCAAATGAAAAGAGGCCTCAGGACCAGGCAAGCCTTTATCTAGGACCTCAGAGATGTGGAAAAAGAAGTTTCTGTTACTTAAGCCTAATTTGTGGCATTTTGTCATGGTGGCCTAACAGGCAACACATTTCCCCAGAGCCATTTTCTATTCCCAGATGTGTGGATCTGACCATATCAACTAGGCAAACTGGGGTGGGGTGGTGTCTGGAGTCTAGGTTCTGGTGTGCCCCTGGGACATGACAGGAAAAGAATAAAACTAAGACCCAGGGTGGCAGAAGCTTGAGCTAGGAGCAATGGACACAACACTTTCCCTTAGCAGGAGTAGATGAGTTCTGTCAATTTGTACCTTGTTCAGACTTTTAGACTATTTATGTGAACTTTATTATTCAATGAAGAATGTGATGAAGATCACAGCATGGTTAGATGAGACTCAATGTACATTTAGCTTACTTGAAGTTATCTGACCACTTTCTATCTTGTTTTTCAGATGCCGTGTGTATATGGGGGGTGGTGAACCTTTATCTTCTTTCACATGAAGATTAAGAATTAAGATTAAGAAAGTAGGAAAGGGGAAGAACAGATGTTCTCAATGGCTAACTTTAGCTAAGATTTAAAGTATCTTCTCCATGTTCCTGACCAAGTCTTCAGTTGTCCTGGAAAAAACATCCAGGTCTAGCCGGTGTAATAGCACACACCTTTGATCCCAGCACTTGGGAGACTGAAGCAGGAGGATCTCTGTGAGTTCAAGATCAACCTGGTCTACAAAGCGAGTTCCACAACAGCTAAGGCTGTTACACAGAGAAACCCTGTCTCAAAAAAACCAAAACCAAAACACATCCAGGGATAGAGCTTCAGCAAATTCCTTACAGCTTCATTTCAACTGTCCATCTCTAGTTCAGCTGTCCAAACTTACACTAAATCTCTGTGGGAATTTTGCTCTTGGCCTAGCTCCAAGTACATGAAAACTTTGCTTGACGGTTCTTTTGGACCAAGTTTTTTGAATGCTAAGAAATCCCTGAATGTGATGTCCCCCCTCAGGCCAAAAGTGCAGTACCTCAGGCTACTGTATAGGCCAGCCCATAGGTACTGAAACTAAACTAGGCCACAGTATTGGTAATAAAACCACAGGTTCTCCTACACTTTCCCTCTGAACCACAATGTGCATATGTCCTTATCCCTACCACTGCGATCTGAACCAAATTAAAATGGCCCCTTGGTGCTTTTCAAATGCCAGAGAGCCTCATGAACAAAAAGACCATCGGTGGCCACTATAACCACCAGGCTAAGTGGTTCCAATGTTGGAGAATGGGAGTTGAATGAGCTAGGATAATATAGATACTTTAGTTAATTCTAGTGACTCATCAAAAAGTAATTAGAAAGTAGGTAGTATTTCTCCAAGTGTAGACCCACAGAAACATTCCAATTTCTACCCCATAGTAACTGCTCAAATTGAGGTTCAAATGCTGCTTGAGAGAAGCAGGAACACAATAGCCACCTAGGTGACCAGATGTCAACATGGCCACAGACAAATGTCCTCTGCTTATAGGTACCTCTGAATTTATAGGCTCTAGATACGACCCTTTCTGCTGCTAGGAATGCTTGCAGAGAATGTGACACCTAACTCTTGAGTTCTACCAGTGGTTTCCAACATAAGATCATAGATAGTCAACATACTTCCTCTATCTCAGGTTGATACACTCCAGTCTTGAGTTATCAATTATCTTGCTTTTGGAATCTCCAAAAATCAGAGGTAACCTACCATCCAATCCTCCCCTATAAAGAAAGGGAAGCCAGGACTAGAGACTGACATTTCTTGAGTACTCTGTATTCTGAAGGCAGCAGGCCTCCAGCCTCAAGAACCAACATAGGTCAAGGCCATTAGATGTTATTGATAATTTTGCTAATATAAGCAATATCTTTTATCTCACCCCAAAGAACTGGGCTAAACACTTGGCTCTTAGCCATTCTGGTATGCTAGCCCCAACCCTAAGAAGCAAAGGAACCTGAAACCATTTCCAAATTCTAAAGCAACTGCAAAAATAAAGTAAAATATTAAGAATATATATATATATATGTATATATATACACACACACACACACACATATATATATATATGTACACACACAAACACATATGGATGACATTGCAGGACTGTATACTTTACCTATTTTCTTATAAAATAAACAATTTTCAAAATAAATGAAGTGGTATACAGAGATAAACACTAAACAATAGCAGATAAACCCTGTTTCCCAAAGCTATGGTCTTTTCAGATCCTTTTAGTGAAAGGAGGCTGAGAATCAGCACTGTGCTTATTTCCAGGATGCTAACAATCCTGCCCCATAACTAGTATTCTGCATTTCAACACAGCAGAACTGGTTGTCACAGAATGAGAGGGTCAGGGGGCAGCAATTCGATCAAGAAAGTCACAACACTAAAAGCACAAACCTGTAGCTCAACATCCTTCCCCTGCATTCAGCAGCAGCAGGCAGATGGCAGAGGAATTAACTTTGCCTCATACCACAAGGCCCACTGCTGAGAGAGAGGCTGTAAGTAGATTAAGCCCTGATCCTCTGCCCCTAAGAGCCCCTGACCCATTTCTCTTTCTGGAAAGAAAACCACCGTGGTAAGTCAGGCAAGCAGAGGCACAGAGAGACTCTGGTCAACATAGGCAATATCAACAAGTGCTGTTTTTCTGCAGGAGGCAGCAGTGGGGACACTGAAGAGTGACACAAGGTATCCTAAGTGCACTAATAGGGAGCTACCACAAGTTCTCTTCTTTTATGAAAATAGGATATCGCCCCGCCCCCTCCCCACCCCCCAAGCCTAGGTGCCTACAGGACAAACTCTCACTGCTTAGTGCTACCATCACACTCGATATACTAAGTTGTCCTACAGGTGTTTCCAGAAACTTCACCTTGAGTACTTGCACCTGGGCACAAAGGAAGTGGGTAAGGTCAGCGAGGACACAAAAAGGAACAAACTATCCTTCCTAGATCGAAGGGGCATCAGGAGTCTTGCAAAGAGGAGGAGTTGGCTTCCTGAAGACTAAGTCCCAATGCCCTCGAGAACTCTAGGGTTTAGCTCCTGTGCCAGGAGTTTCTGGTGTACTGCCAAAGCTCCGCCTTACAGGGCGGCTTCACCGGGAGGTTCCACAGGGTGGCCCCTCTTTCTGCCGGCTCAGGTCTTGGAACAGTGTTGAAGGTCTTTCTAGCCGACCCCACAGACAGCGTGAGTACTGACAGTCCCTCTGGCCAGAGGGTTCTCCCGAGGCGGCAGGCGCCCTGGGTTGGAGGGGACAGCCTCGGCAACAGGTGACTACCCATGGCCCCGAGAAGCCTCCGCGCCGGGGTCCAGAACGGCCCCAGGGTCCCCGAAGTCTCGCCGGCCGCCCGCGGCACTTACACACGCTCGTGGGTCCACCGCCGGGCAGAAACGAAACTTTCTAAGGCCGAGCGGAAGAGTAGGAGAGCGTATTGCCAGCGGCCATGAAGCGCACAGTACACCAAGGGCGCGCGCGGACTACGACTCCCGGCATGCTCCACACAGATGGCCTACAACTCCCATCGGGTGCCACGGGCCGATGGACACCAACTACAACTCCCGGCATGCTCCACGAAGTGGCGTTCCTTTGGGATAACCTGAACAAGCTTTGCATACCCGGTTCCGGCCGGAAGTCATCTGTGTGGACTCCTGAGCTAGGGTTGTTGGCTACAATTGTTAAGCACTTGCGATGCGGCTGATTGGCTTTGAATTGTGCGTGAGCCATAAATATAAAATAATGTATCTGATCCAAAAATCCCCCAAACAATGTAAAAATAGCTCATTAATATTTTGTGCTATTAATTTTTACTTACTGAACTAAAAGAATGAACCCATTACATATTGCTGGACCTAAATTCTCAGTTTTTGGTCCTGCTCATTAACAGAGACATAAATCAGTGTTTGAAATTATGTGCTAATGAACTACCTACCATGCTTATCTTCCTCAGCCCTGTGTTTTTGCTTGTTGTTGCATTGAAAAGCATCCTGAAGCCTAATGCAATAAAACACTGCATTCCAAGACCAGTATCGATGAACATACTAAAGAAAAGGGAGAGTACATAAGATGTCAGCCTGTGACTAGGTTCTGTTCCTTGGCTCTGGCTGGCCACTACTTACTCTGCCTTACTTTTTTTTTTTTTTTTACCATTTTAGCTAGAAATGCCTGTCTGCCTCACAGAACTTGGCTAATTAGTGGCATATGCCAGGCCTCAGCATTTCATGTTTTCAGGATAGAGTCACACAGGAAGGACAAAGATTTCTTAATTAATTTCATGTTTTACGTGAGATGTATATGAGATAACATATTAACTTGATGGAGTTGGCAGTTTGTGGATGGGAATAAAAAGGATCCTCCTGATAGAAATGATTCCCTTTTCTGTTAACAAAGGAAAACAAAAAAGAAAAGGGAGATGTGGGAGGAGATGACAATGTAAATGAAGAATTATCAACATAATGGTGTAAGAAAAACTTGCTCCAACCACAGTCTGAACAGCTTTGGGATATTAAGGATGAGAGAGATTTCAAGCACCCTTATTTGAAACTTAGACCCTGAATAAGTTTATAGAGAAGAAGAAGAAGAAGAAGAAGAAGAAGAAGAAGAAGAAGAAGAAGAAGAAGAAGAAGAAGAAGAAGAAGAAGAAGAAGAAGAAGAAAAGAAGACAGGCCTCAAACAGTGGTGTTTTATATAAGGGTAATGGTACATTTTGAGAACTTCACAGTTAGGCGTTTCATCTAGGGTATAGTTACACAAATTAAGATGACTATGACATCACTAGACAATTTAGTCTTAAGGGATCACAGTTATATTTGGTTCAACATTGACCAAAATGTTGTGCAGCAGATGATTGTAAGAACCTAATATGTCATACCCTAACCAAAAATCAATATAGCATTATGTTTAAAACTCAACACAACTCTGTGATGTAGGTAGGAGTTACTTCTGTACTTCAAAACTGAGGAGACTGAGGCTCAGAGAAGTAAAGGAATACCAAACTCACTTGTCTAATGGACAGAGCTGTAAACTAGGATGGAGTGGAAGGTCCCCGAGGCATCTCTACCCAAGACATTGTCGGGTATACGAAATGCTCAGCTTTGTCTACAAAGGAAAGGAAGCCAGAAGAGGGCAACAGATTCCCCTGGAGTATAACTGGTCTTTCTTTAGACCATCAGCTCCCAAAAATAATGACAGGGAAACTTTTTATTAATTATGAAAACTTGGCCTTAGTTTAGGCTTGTTCCCAACTAGCTCTTAAAATGTAAATTGACCTCTTTATATTAATCTATCTTCTGCCACATGGCTCGTTAACCTCTCCTCAATAGCTTATGTCCTACTTCCTCTGGGTCTGTTGAAGAATCCCTCTCATCAGACTCTTTCCCAGAGTGCCTTTCTCTCCCTGGAAGTCCTGCCTATCTTCTCCTGCCTAGTGATTGGCCATTCAGCTCTTTATTTTAAATCAATCAAAAGGTGCCTATCTCAGGCAGGTGACAAAGGACAGAGACACATATTCACACAGTATACAAAAAGATTATCCCAACACTGGAGTTAAAAATGGTTGTGAGTCACCATGTGAGTTCTGGGGACTGAACCTGGGCCCTCTGGAAGAGTAGTCAGTGCTTTTAACTGCTGAACCATCTCCCTATCCCCTTGAAAGTTGCTTTTTCCTGATAAATCATAGCTATTTTTATTGCTTTATTTTTATTTTTTGTTAATTCTTTAAAATTACTGTGATATGATTTTATTTATTTATTTTTGATTGAAAGAATAGGATCTGAGTTCTACCTCTGGCAGACATGACAATCTAAACTGCCCCAAAGGGGTATTCTGGTGGAATCACCTCATATTACCAGGGAAATCTGGGTCCTCTCTTGGGGTTCTTAGTTTCATTAATAAAAGAATTTAAGAGGGGTTGGAGATTTAGCTCAGTGGTAGAATGCTTGCCTAGCAAGTACAAGGCCCTGGGTTTGGTCCTTAGCTCCAGAAAAAAAAAAATTAAGAAATAACTCAGAAGGAGACTTGATGACAATTTTATTAAAGCTTTAAAGAAAAACACCAGGCAAACAAGCTGTAAATCAAAGAAAAATCCCAGACAGGTAGCTTTCCAGAGGAGGAAGATGGAACAGAGAATAAAAAGAAGCAACAGGAAGACACTGTGGAGTAGAGGCCATTGTAGAGATAAAGTCATGGGTATGTTATCATGAGAATAAGCTAGAGAGATGCTGGAAAGGCAGAATCCACAGGACCTGGCTCTGCGAGCTTAGGGAAAGGAAATGCAGTGCTTGAGGAGGATTCAGTTTGGAGAATGGTTGAAAGGGGAATGCTGGCACTATCATCCAGATAGTAGGAAATCAGCTTTCTCTCAATCTAGAAGAGAGAAAATGACAGAGGAATCTTCAACATGCCTTTGTTAGATAGGCTTTGCTTATCTGAACCTTCATGGATGTATTGGTGTCATCTAGAAATTAGCAACAATATCTTATTCATCTTTGTATTGTCTAAATAATTACTTAGCGCAGATGGTAGCACATATTGCATTCAATTATAGGGTAAATATTTAAAAGCTAGTTTGTGTGTTAGCAGCTGTTGCCATGTGGGCGCCATGGGCCCTGGCCCCCGACTGTGAGTGGCTGCGGCCTTGCTTGCTGACCTTGATAAGATGTCCGCCCTATTCAGATTCCCTGCCGGTATCCACCCTTCTGAATGCTTAAGGGAAGTTCCTTGTTTGTGTATCCTGCATTTTGGGCGTTAACTACTTAGATGCAAGAATGTAGAACATTGGGTCTGGAATGTAGACCATTGGTAGTGAACTTCTGCCCTCCGGGGGTTCCTCCATTTGTACTGTAAGCCTGTATTTAAGGTTTCTTCCCTCTTTCAATAAACGGCATTCGACATCCAATCGTACGAATGACCCGCTGTCTCTTGTCTCTATTTTTTAATCCGCAGCCCTTCGCTCAGACATGGTAAACAGGTATGGGTAATGCAGGCGTTACCGCTACAAATGGAGGTTCCTACCGAGATCTGGGAAAGAAGGACCAGCTGACGGACACTCTTGGAAGGCCGGCCGGCATTTTACAGGTAAGAGTGAATTGAAATGGGTGCAATTAGCTCACAGTCAGTTAATTGGACTGTTGAAGCAGGAAGGCACCAAAGTTAAGTAAGGACAAGACAGCTAAAGATTTTAAATAAAAAGAAGGAAATCTTCCCAAAAGAGAAGAGGGAAGGAAAGGAAATTTCCCGTTAAAAATGGGAGAAAAATTTTAATCAAGAAAAAAGAATTTTCCCGGTAAAAAGGGGAAAAATTTTTGAAACTAGGCCTAAAGATTTGGGTCTTGTAGAGAAAGGATGAAGGAAAGAGAGAAGCCTCTTCCCAGTGGTAATGGAGGAAGAAAAGATTTTTTCCAACTGTAGAGTTTTCAGGATAGCTGAAACTCTGAGCTCTTTCTTCCCACCAGTGCAGAGCGGCAGCATCTGAATTACAAAGAATCGGCAGGTAGGCCTCATTGCTGCTGGCTGAACAGCAAGCGAGCCCAGGGGTTAGAAGTTTTGCTGTCTGTTTGCTTAATTTTGGCTCAAATGTTTTTTATTTTTCCCTCAGAGTGGGAATAATTCAATATTTAGGATCCCTTCGTGGGAAATGTTTTTCTGTTTTCCCTTATGGTGGGAATAACTATTGTTAGGTAGTCCCTTCATGGGAGTAGGAAATTTAAACGTGAGTTTGTGTGTGCGGGGCGCGCCCAGCGGCTGTGGCAGACAAAGGCGTGCACGAGATAGCCCAAAGCAGCGGGTGGACAGGTACAGCCGATGGGAGGCAGAGCCGTGATGGAGTGTGGCCCAGGTAGGCGCTGGCAATAGAGCCTGAGCACTGGGCAGAGCCAGCGAGCTGGGGCTGGAAAGGGACTAGCACTAAAAGTTTAAACGGGCCTAACTTCTGATGAAAAATGGTTTCGGTCAGGACATTGAATGCTAAGTCAATGCTGTTTGAAAAGAGGATGTTCTGTTCTTTTGATTGTCTTGATAAATGTTTGGATGAATGTTTGGATTCTCATGGTAGATAAACTAAAGAAAGAGGATTCACAATTTTGAACTATATATTAGGTATGCTCTTGTCTGTTGATCATTACTGAAAATTTGGCTCTGCTATTTAAGTTGCTTTCTAAAAATTCTTGGTTTAGCTCTATAAAAACATAACTCCTAAAATGGTTTGGGTTGTTAGCCTATTAAATAATGTTGCTAAGATAATCCATAAATGATAATCTCTTCCTGATAAAGAGGTTACAAAATTATTTTTCCAGTAAATAAAATACAGGTAAATTGTGTGGTACACATTGTTAATAATTGGTTATTTACATTAATGTGTTACTTAAAATCTATAAAAAAAAATCTTCTTTTTAAGGTTTTATAAAAATACTCAAGAGTATTACCTAAAGTTTACCTTTTCAAATCCTATAGAAATTGTATTTAATGCTTTTATAATTGGCATATGTAAAAAAGACCATGAAAACAAAAGCTGGTGATAGAATTGCTCAATTATTATTGCTTTCATATTTTAAATTCAAAATGGTGCTGATATATAGAACTGAAGGCTTTGGAAGTACAGGAAAAAAAGGTGTTTTGACAAACAGTTATCAATGATAACAGCCTAAATTAGAAATAAAATTATATGGGATTGAGATTGAAAGATTATTGGATTCTGGTGCTGGATATATCTATAATTTCACAAGAATCCTGAGATCCCAATTGGCCCCTTAAAAATTCTACCTCTAACCTACAAGGTATCGGCACAGCTCAGATACCATTACAGAACAATCTACTTTTAAATTAGAAGGATGAGGAAGGTCATACAGGAACTTTTCAACCATTTGTGCTACCTGACATTCCAATAAACTTATGGGGACGGGATGTGTTGGATGGCATGGAAACAGTGCTTACTACACAGCCTGTACAACAGATACTAAAGAGTCAGGGCTACTGCCCGGACAGAGGCTTAGGGAAAATGTTACAAGGAGGCCCACGACCTGTGGCAGACAAAAACTGTATCACTAAAGGTCCTGGGGATACTAGAGGATTAATTAGGGTCTTTTCCATAGAGGTCACTACACAACAGCCTTCAATAATACAACTGATAAAAATCACTTGGAAAAGTGATGACCCTGTTTGGGTGGAGCAATGGCCCCTTACTAAGGAAAAATTGGAGGCTGTGTATGCATTGGTTAAGGAGCAGTTAGATGCTGGACATATCATTCCTTCCACTTCACCTTGGAACTCACCTATATTTGTTATTAAAAAGAAATCAGGAAAATGGAGGCTATTACAGGATCTTAGAGCTGTAAATAAAACCAT